TTAAACACTTCAAATGAGCAAGTTCCTATTTAAAGGTATACTTGGATCCCAACACAGGCAAGAAAATCACCTCGGTACTGTATTACCTGTCATCTATGGCTTCAGTTCTGGTACCCATTTTGGTGCCACTCCCTGCGAACATGGGGTCAAAAAGTTGACCCCATGACACACTTTGAATGACAGCCCAACATTTGCATAATAAAGTAGAAATGCATAAAGTTATATAAAAACAAATAAATTCAGAATCAAATTAAAAGAATATTCATTTATGTCACATTTTAGAGATGAATTAATGTCTACATTCATATTTTATTTTTGATGCACTTCACAATGATATATTAATTATTATTAATCAAATGATTGTGTCATTTATTTATTACTTTATTTATTTTTGATTAAGTCAGTTTTGGTCCTCCATAGACTGTACCTGTGTACTTGTAAAATGTCCCTATCTGCTGTTCTTCTTTCCCTTCCTCAGAAACCACAGAATGGATTATTCCATCTCTATCCATGTATCTCTCAGTGTTGCGTTGTTGCTGCTCAATACAACGTTCCTGCTTACCGAGTGGGGGACCACGGTGAAGTCAGACTGGGTGTGTGTGTTTGTTGCAGCTTTCATGCATTACTCCTTGCTCTGCTGTTTCACCTGGATGGCCATAGAAGCACTTCATCTCTATCTACTGCTGATAAAGGTGTTTAACACCTACTACAAACACTACCTGCTCAAACTGTCTCTTGCAGGATGGGGTGAGTTTTGCAACACCTACTGTTGGCAACATGCTAATGTGGTGTTTGATGTCTAACATTTTTCAACATTTCTGGGACTTCCCGTGTTCTAAGTCAAACTGGTGTCATAGGTTTTCAGTAAGACTAATAGAGGAAATGATGACTGGGGCATTCTTATTGTGTATTGATAGCATGGGTATCTTCTGTAGTGCTTTTCTTTATATATAATTGTTGAACATTGGTGCAGGGTAACAAAAGAAACCATTTGGATCTACTGATTGAGACCAGAAGGTGATGACTCACCAATGTTTCGGATTAATGTTTTCTGTCATCAAACTCCGTTGTAGCGTCACTAGAAATAACTTAATGTGATGCTATATTGCGCATGCGTGATAAATGAATATCTCTTTAATGCATCTTCCAGAATACATTAATTAAATTGATGTTAAACTGTGTGCGTGTGTGTGTGTGTGTGTTCATGTGTGATCCTCAGGAATCCCCGGTATAATTGTGGCTGTCTCTGTGGGAGTAAAGGACTTTAAACAGTTTTATGGAGTTACACAAATGATCATGGCCGATACTAACCAAACTACTGTAATGTAAGTAAATAATCCAAGAAAAATATAATTTTCAGCCTAAAAGCTTAATAAAATCAAATAAATCACAATATGATCTACCATAATCACAGAGCATGAGAAAATTTGTAATTTACACACTTACATACACTTTGTATATGATCATAATTTCTTTATTTGTCTAAGTGGTTTTGGCATTTTCAAACAGCTTTAGGACAGCATTTTTCTTTTACTTATGTTACAATGTATATACTTACAAGATTATTGTGCATATGACTCATGCATACATACATATACATGATAAAGACCTTCTGGTTATATACAAAAAATATTAATCAGTATAATCTTGTATAAAATGTGTATGAAAAATGCCTTAAAATTGTGCGGTTTAACCAAAAACAGTCACTTGTGTGTGAAGGCAACTTGAATCCTGCAAGGGAATGGCGGACTCTGCCACCAACAATGAAGACTACTATACAGAATGTAAACACATTGAATGGCCAATACTGGCCAAACAATCTTAAGGATTGCAACTTTAAACATTTAAGATGTGTTTTTGTTCTTTACATATACTGTCCTGTATGTAACCTGTAAACCGAGAGATTATATGTATTTTTTGCTATGTTGTGTAACTATATTCTAACAGCCTTTGGGTGTCCTGCCTGTCCCACAGGTGCTGGATCACAGATGAGTCCTTCTTCTACTCTTTGAACTTGGTGTACTTCACCCTTATATTTATCTTCAACTCTGGCATATTGATGGTGGTGGCCTCTAGCATCTGTAAGATGAAACGAGTGGCCAGGAGCAAGCCAACGCTTGGAGATGAGGTAAAGATTTGGAGAGACCCAGAGAGGTTCACTGAGTCCTGCAAGAGTGGCCTCACTGTGTTGGGTCTTACCTGCCTTATGGGGACCACCTGGGGTCTTGCCTTCCTGGGCTCAGGATATGTCAACTACCCTATCCTCTACCTTTTCTGCATCCTGAACTCTACACAAGGTCTGTTGAGTGTTTGTCTCTTTTTAGGTTTCTAACTTGTTTATATAGACATGTTTGTGTTCATCAGCTGAGTCCGTTCGGGTTCTCTTTTACCAGCTTGTAACTACACTCATGTTGTCTCCTTTTTCAAGGTTTCTTTATCTTCCTGTGGATCTGCCTGTCAACCAAGAAGCAGAGGAAGAAAGACATGGAAGACAGAATGACTTCAACTCCTGTGAAGACTTCAGCACTCAAATCTGATTAGACCCCCTTTCCTGCCATTAGTCCAGATGAGATGATAAAGCCCAGATGTAATCTTTGATAGTAATCCCTCGTTAATGTAACCATAGCAACAGTAACCCCCGAGACGTTATATCCCGAGAACTGTAAACTTTTTAATAAATATTGATGTCAATTCTGTCATTAAAGTAAACTTGTTTCCTTCACTAACCTACTGTAGAATATTGTACATATGCTTTTGAATAAAGTCTTAATATATCAGTATAGAACAATGGTCACCTGTTTCTATTTGCAAATGGTTTACCATACTAATTCTTGAAATCATATGCATAGCTTTTAATTATTGCAATATGAAGAATTTACAAATAATCCCAGTGTGAATTGCATTTTCATTTCCCTATGTGTTGTGCCAACATTGGAAACAAAGTTTTGCAGGTCTGAGTTTCACTTCCAGTTGTGTCAGTTGACTTGTGGACCAATGTGACTTGTTTCGTCTATTGAAAAAAAATAACTTCCTCTTTTCTTCAGGCAATTTTGTCTATGTTGAAAATGTAGTCATTTTAACATTGTTAGTGGTGGAGATTTTCATCTTCTTTTTTTCCAGTGATAACTGTTTAAAATAAATAAGTGATACTTATCTACTAATCTATACAACCACAACAGGAAATCTTACTCTGTAATGAGCAAATAAAGATAGATTTTCTGTAAAAACCTCAGCAGCTTAGAAGGACAGAAACCTTAAAATACCCTTACACACAGCTATGAATCACTTCCTGTATATGTGAGTCCCCCCCCCCCCCACACACACACTGCCACC